AACTGAATTTTCAGTGTCATGTTTTTAACTTTTAGTCTATAAGTTTTTAACGGTAATATTTGAAGTGTCAAAACTCAGATATTATTTAGGTTTTTATTTATTTATTTCGAAATAGTATAAAGATAAAGAAATATTTCTAACTATTTTGGTAAACTAAACTATAAAAATTCAACTTTGGCCTTTCCTTTTCATTTATTTAACAGAAACAAATAAAACTCACAAAATCCGAGTGGATATATAATTTGAGCTAATTAATTAGTGAAAGATTATCTCCTGCATAATTTCATACTAAAAATGAATTATATAAAATTAAAGGACTCAGTTAATAGGACCACTCTCTAGAGGAGGAATAAATAGTTTAGGTGCTAATAGAGGGGATATATTTTAGAATTAGAACTGTCCCATTGGGAACTGTTTTCTCTTCTTGCTAATGTATTACTATTATAGATTCATTCTCTAAATTACATAATTAATTAAATTTTAAATGAGAACAAAGTAAGAAGAGAGAACAGACATCTTTGAGCACCTCGGAGAAAAATAAGCATGTGAGACTCGATGCACATCATTAAATGCTTTGAGAGATGACATGGAAGATTCGGTTCTCGGTATTTGCTCTTTTCTTTCTATTTTATTTTCTTAACAAAACAAAACAAAATTTTTAAAAAAATATTTGTAAACGGTGGGGGAGGAGACAAGAAGCAATGTTTGACTGAGTTCAGTTAAAATTTATTGAAGAGGTGGGAAAAAAAAATTAAAAAGACCTGAAGTGTTTTTTGCTTTAACGTTTAGTTTGGTTGAATGAGTGAAAGAAAAATGAGTTTCTGTCAATGTCGGAATTTAATAAGTCTGTAAGATTCTGTAAGAAACAAAAAGAAGCATTCTGAGAAACATCAGAGCTTCGTGCTAATCCGTAGACTTGGACTCTAGCTCTTGCCGCCTCTGTCATCTTCTTATTTTACAGTTTTTACTCTACTTCTCAATTTCAGTTATATGAACGTACGATTTTAACTTTTTGTCAGTGAAAAATTATATCAGCCAAAAAAAACACTACTAATTAAAAGTAATAGTTGGCGATACAAAATGGATAAAAATTTAGATTGTATGATTTCATAATCAAAATTTAGGTAATTACATTTACGATTTTATTTATATATAAATATATATACGAGTGTTCAAAAACTAATCTTTTCATTTACTCTGGTTTTTATTAGGGTAAAATATTTTGTATGGTTTGGCGAAGCTGTCTGCGAAAAGCCATTTTCTTATTGATTTATGCTATTTTGATTTTACGAACTAGTAATAGTATTAATATATACTCTCTCTATTTTTATTATTTGATATTTTAGGGAACTTTTTTTTTGTTTTAAACTAGATGATGTTTTCAATTTTAAATGAAAAATTAATTATTATTTTTTATTAATTTTGACGATTTATATTATCCAGATTGTTTTACTATTGAAGTATTGATTGATTTGTGTTTAGGTAGATAATAAATGATGTGTTAGTTTTAAAATAGGAAAAATCCAAAAAAAAATACAAATATTAATTAAACTGTGCAATTTAATACCCAAACAATTAAAAGTTGTTATTTTCATACTTACGATCTCACAAGAAAATAAAATTCTAAATTTACTATTACCATCTGAGTTAACTTTTAGATGACATGACATTATTTTTATTATTTTAGATAAAATTAATTTTATTAATATTTTGTTTTTATGTTGCCTAAAAATTTTGATATTTCATTTTACTATAATTATGCGAGGCCTAGATTATGTAATATAACTTTACTTTCTTTAGGAGAATAGACTCTTCCCAACGCGAATCGCACCTGTAACCACCAAGATCCCTATGTTTTTGGTAATCAATGAGTTTAGCCACTAGGTCAACTCAACGTTAGTCGATTCATTCCCTTTACTGAAAAGTAAATATATTTTTTGAATAACATGAATAATACAAGTTTATATGTAAATAACACATTTACAACATTATCATAAATTTGTAAACTACAATTCTGATTAAAGAAACAAAAATGTAAATACTTAAAAATATGAAACAAAATAGTAAGTAAAACATAATATAATACTAAACCTACGCAACGTGTGAGCCATTTTCTAGTTGAGATAGTAAATGCATTTCCCTTTGTAGTTTTACTCTGCCAAACTCTATCCTTTAACCCAAGAATCCACAAAAGATCTGCCTCATCGTTTCTTAAATAGGCTATTCTTGAAGAGATGCTCACAATACCTTGATCCTTTTGATACAGATGAAGGTAGTAATTCAAGCTGCTCTACTTGATCCTAGCACCATGGTAGTCAAAATATCTAAAGACATGTGGAGATCCTGCGAAAGGTTTTCCTGAAGATCCGGTGAACATACCGAGAAACAAAAATGAGAATCTCCTACTCAACGGCCAGTACACCGCAAGGATCAAAGAAAGTTGCTCGCTTTATGGTTGTAACCACGTTGTCTCTGAGATTAGAAGTTGGTATTTTTGTCCTACTCGCGAAAAGATGTCTCAAGATCTATTGGATCTTAAGTTGGCCTACATCATCGTAGATGGATTCTTTGGTACAAACAATAACAAGAATCCAAGAAGGATCACAGGAACATTTTGGCTAGTTTTCATATTTGTCTATAATGTTATTTCTACTTAAAGCTTCGTTTTTCATCTCTTTGATATGAGTACCAATGTTGCACACATATCAGACAGATCATCCTCACCTATATATGCATGAAAATTTTGGATCATTACGTCTTTGTCATAATAATATTTAAAAAACAAATATTAATTAAACTGTGAGATTTAATACCTTTCTCTTCACCTTCTTACCTTCAGCTGTCTCCTTTCTCTTCATCTCCTTACCTTTCTTTGTCTCTTTCCCTGCAGAAGACTCAGCTTTCTCCTTTCTCTTCACCTCATGCCTTTCTTCAATCCACCACTATGCTCGTTTACCGTTACCCTATTTGTCTTGAGCAGATACTTCAGATCAAATGATGAACTTAGGCAAAACAGAGACTTGTTGTTGTAGGTGTATTCAGCCAACGACCATCCCTTCAGCCACTCATCAACACCCTCCATTGGTTCTTCGTTCTTAGCATAAACAAGTCTCAGGTAAGCAACCTTTGAAGAAACATTAACAGTCCCTTGCTCCGTTTGATACTCATGCACGTAATAGTTGACTAGACCAACGAATGCGAGCACCAAAGAAATCAAATCCCTCAAACACAAGATTCGTTTTTTTTATGAAAAAAGAGCCAGGACCTATCAGTTTCTCCAGGCAAGAAATTAAAGTCAATAAAATCCCATTCCCAAGGACCAACCTGAAAAATCTCTGGGTCTTCAACCGTAATAATTCCTTGGCTAATGACTCCGTGGTCTGCCTTCTTCAGTATAGCCAAAACATTCCAGTGATCCTTCTCCTGATTCTTATTAATGTTCGTACCAAAGAACCCATCCACGATTATATAGGTTGACTTAAGAGCCAAAAGATCTTTAGACATATTTTCATGATTCGGGCAACAATACCAACTTCCTCTCAAGATTACTTGATTACAGCCATAAAGTGAGCAGCTTTCCTTCACCCTTGCGGCGTACTGGGCGTTCGCTGGATCTTCCTCCGCCGGATCTTGACGAAGACCCTCCGCCGGATCTTGTCGGCCCTATGAACTAGCATTATCGACACTTCTGCGATACCATCATCTATTTCTTCAATCCTCATCTTTGCGACAAGATCTGATCGGAATCGCTTTTTTCGTCCAAGATATTTTGACAATTTTTCCCGCGATACAAGAGATTGCGATACCGGTTCCACTTGCATCATTTTGGAATATCTAATCCCCTATATATTAATAGAGAAACATTTTTTAAAAAAAACCTTACCATCATGTGTTATTAACAAGATTGCCACGCTGATGTGTCGCTCTCACAATGATTTGGCTTCTATTTAGATAATTACCCAAGATTTATTAGATTATTTACAGAATTTGCCATTAGTCTCATACATCCATATATCCCATTAATAATTAAAAACATACACTTACACTTTTTGTTTATCTTATATTACTATATTTTTATATTTATATTTTTTTTATACACATTTATATAAATTTTCTTTAGCGGATGGGTAAACAATCTTTTTATTTATATTTATATTTATGTTTATATTTAAATGATAAAATATATACATTTGGTTCAAGAATCTCGAATTCAAAACTACAAAATTTTTACATCTTTCATAAATTTTTTACTTAAATAAATAAGATAATCTCCTTTCTAGCTTTGTTACGAATACTTAAAATCCTATTTTTTGGAGGAGTTCTAACTTTCCGAAGAAATAAACCAAAATATGGCCACATTATAACCATTTCGTAAATAATCCATTCATAATCTAAGAATCTTAGATTTGGAACACTACAAAATCTTAGCTTGGAAACTATCAAATCTCATCTTTGCTAAATTTTGGATTTCTTATACTTATTAAAAAAAAATATAATTTCTTTTTATACTACAAAATCTCGAAATCTTTAAAACATACGGAAAGACATATTGCCATAAATGGTAACATTTCTTCAATACTTTTTTATCACGTTGAAGCTTTATTCAAAGTTCAAATATTTCACGGGTAAAACATATTCTTATATGAAATAGTCCCAAATTTGAATAAAACAAAAAAAAAATAGTAACATGTTTCGTTTTACACAAACGGATCTTGGATCCCGGATAATAATTTTAATCATAATAATTTTACTTGAATCACTTCATCCCGCACATCGTGCGGGTTGTTATCTAGTTAAACATATGAAAGGAACTAATTAAACATATGAGAAAAAACTCATAAAGTTGGATTTAATTTGCGTCGGTGTTTACGTATTCATTTTTCGTATATTTTTTCCAGTTAAACATAGGACTAACGGCTTCCGGTTTGGGCTTAGTATGGGCCAAGTGGGCTTAATCAAGCATATCATAACACGTGTTCTTTTTGATACTGCGCACTTTAGCTTTCGATGATATGGCCTACTTTAGCAACGAACTCATTATCCAAATGTTTTTTTTTTGACAAAGAACGATAATTGATAATTCAATTAGGGAAGATACTTTCGCAAACCGGAGAAGACAATCGGAGATCGGAAACTATGGCCGGACGAGATCGTTATCTTCCATCGTCGGCAGTTTCAACTTCATCATCTTCAAGATTAGTAGAATCTCAATTTATCGAATCCGATCGAAATCGAGCTCGATCTGTAATCCTCGAGGATCGAATCGCAATCCAACACCGTGAAATCCAATCTCTTCTCAATGACAATCAACGATTAGCTGTGGCACACATTGGACTCAAAGACCAGCTCAATTTAGCCAAGCGTGAGCTCGAACGGTTACTTGAAACCGCTGCGAAAGTTAAAGCGGAAGGAGAAGCTAAGGTGCGTGAGGTTTATCAGAATGCGTTGAGGATGGAGGCGGAGGCTCGTGTGATTGATGGACTTGGAGCTGAGCTTGGTCAGGTTAGGGCTGATGTACAGAGGTTAGCTAATGATAGACAGGAGTTAGCTACAGAGTTGGCTATGCTTGATGGTGAGATGGTTAAAGCGAAACCGAATTCGGATCGAGCTATTGAGGTTAAGGCGGAGATTGAGGTTCTTCGAGGAGAAGTTCGTAAAGGAAGGTGAAATTTTGAATTCTCTTTGTTGGTTTTTGTTGGAACATTGGATTCGTTATCTTGTAGTGTATACTCATATGATGGTTTTAAGAGGTGGTGGTTTTTTGGATGCTTATGGAGTAGTAATGGATTGTTTGGGGTTTGGGATTTGAAACAGGGCTGCTCTTGAGCTTGAGAAGAAGACACGAGCAAGTAACCTTCACCATGAACGCGGTATGGAGAAGACTATCGATCACTTGAATCGTGAGATTGTGAAACTTCAGGAAGAATTGGTTAATCTGGAGACAAAAGCTAGAGAAGCAAATGCAGCTGCTGAGGCAGCTCCAAACCCAAGTAAGTTTTTAAGCTTTCTTTAATCATCTTGCAATCACATTACAGGGTGTTTACTGGTCAAGTAATGATTTTGAAGCTTTTTGGTTATGTTGAGAATTTTTTTTATGTAAGGCCCTGGATTGGCTGCAAGTTATGGAAATACGGATAACATTTATGGAGGTCAATCCCGGCAGGCCAACGGTTCTCACGAGGTACACATGAGTCTTGGTAGATAAGTAGTAGTTTTACGTGATCATCTACCTGTTAAGAATTTTCCTATTTTACCATTATTATGGAGAAGGAGAAGATTGGACTAATTGTTTGTACTGATCGTCTTAGAGATATGTCAGCTCTCTCGCCCAGAAAGCTAGTTCTTAGGGAAGAGTTATGTCCATAGGTCGTAGTAAGTGTCCAACTTGTAGAAGTATCCGTTGGTTAGTGAGAATTGTTGTAAACTCATAATGGATTGAATTCAAAGCTTATGATCTCTACTAAGATTGCGCTTTTACTTTTTCTTTAACATTGGTCGTTTCTACTAGTGACGTTTAACATCACCCAAATATACACTTCAGGCATATGGAGCATCAGATAGTCTCCCTCAAGACCCGTCTACTCCATTGCAGCATCCTCTGAATAATACTCAACATTCTAGTGTGTTGTGATAGTGTCTTGCTTACGTTTGAATAGGCAAACCTCGATTTGACAATTTTTTGTTTTAATGTATCTTATTTAGGGAGTGTATACAACCAAATAATTTATATTGATTGAAGTTTTTAGATCTTTCGATTATTTTTGGTGAATTTTAGAAATTTTTTATGATTTGTTATTAAAATTCTTGGAAATATTAACTTTAGAATTTGGTGAATCTTTGTGGTTTATCTTTACAATTACCTTTAAAATACCATGTATCTTTTAATTTATGCAGGCACACCTCATTTATCTTCTAATTTAAAGTTATCCCAAATTTTGCGATCTCATATTGAGCAAAGGGAGAACAAGAAGGGTGGCATATTTTGGTAACCTATATCATTCGAAGAGGATCATAAAATTCTTAAAATACAAAACCATATAGCAAAAATACCATGAAGCTTTAGAGAAAACGCAAAAGTTAGATGAAAGTGACTAGAAATAAGTTCTACATAAGCTAAAAACTCTTTTGCCAATAGAGTTTCAGAGTTCATTCTTCCAACTTCTTTACAAGCAAGGTCGCGAGACCATTGGTTAATCACAAAATTAATAGCATATTTTGAGAGAGAGAGAGATAGTTAGCCATGTGTTGTAGTAATTAACAAAACAATAAACAAGGAAGATAATAAGGACTCGTTTACGCCTGCTTAGTTTGTTTCATGGGGTTTTTGCAAAATAATCCTTCTAATTATAATGATATTTGAACCAAAGTATACGACCTTTTGGGTTGTTTTGTTAATTAGTAGTTTTTTTTTTTTTGTATGTTCTTATACCATCCTCATTGGTTATCAAAATAAGGGTGTTTTTTATTTTATATAACTTTGGTGATCCTAATGGTTTTTTAGGCCCAAAGATTAAAATTAGGATGTCTTTAATATGTGAATAGTAGAAATTGTGTGTTTTCCTATAGATATTTTAGACCATTTAATCGCTACTATTTACATATTAAAGACACCCTCATTGACCAATGAAGATGGCCTTAGAGTTGTAGAAAAAAAAAGAGAAATAGTGTGTTGAGTCTAGTTAGGTGTGAAAGGGAATAAGAGACGAGACAAAAGAGTGGAAGTTAGAAACTCCACCTGATTTTTTTATTTCAAAATAGTATTTGTTATATACAATTTTGACAAATATATAATTAAATTCAACATATTTGTTATGTATAATTAAAAGTAGAGCTTATAATGTTTTTTCTAGTCTAACGCACCAAAACATATGTTATCATATCATAACTGAACCAAACTCGAGGACATCACTTTAAAGTATACATCCATCTATTACAGTTGAAAGTATGATGTAATGGTAAAATAATTTCCATCGAAATGTTGTATAATCATAGTTAAATAAAATATGTTAGCAAAAAAAAAATGAACGTGATTTGTATCCTAACGATTTGTATAAAAGGTATACGACTAATTTGTTATGTCCCACACCTCTTGATGCATATGAATATTATGATACAATTTGTTATAATATTAGTATCATCTCCAAGAACGTCAAAAGTCTTGAGAAAGGTTCGGAGAATCCATCTGCTTTATGGATTATGCATTTTACACTGTTGGAGCAGTTTAAAGCAAACTACAAACAAGAACCGAGGCAGAAATAATAGGGAAAAAATCATTTCAATTTTGAAATATTTATGATGGGACAAATGTTAATTTAGAAAGTTGCAGCGTTCTCATTTTTTTTTACGGTGAATGCATTAAATTTTCTTTAAAAAAATTAAGGACATAACTCATTTCATTTGGCACCTAACCTTTTACCCGGTTAAGACAAAAAGATGGTTCACAATATTAAATAAAATTTTGATAATATACACATATTAAAAATGAATTTATATTTCCAAACAATTTTACAATTAATTCTCTAATATTTATATAACCAAACACAACTAAAAGTTTAACAATAATTATAAAATTTCAAAATAATATTTCACAATTCTTAACGCCCATTATGCTGCGAGGATCAAAGAAAGTTGCTCGCTTTATGGTTGTAACCACGTTGTCTATGAGATCGGAAGTTGGTATTGTTGTCCTACTCACGAAAATATGTCTCATGATCTCTTGGCTCTTAAGTCGGCCTATTAAGTCGGCCTACATCATCGTAGATGGATTTTTCCGTATAAACAATAACAAAAATCACAAAAAGGATCAGATGAACGTTTTGGCTATTGGTCAATAAACCATATTTCTTTTCTTCCTTTGCGTGCCTCCAGTTTTCATATTCGTCTATAATGTCATTCCTACTTAAAACTTCCTTTTTCATCTCTTTGAAATGAGTACCAATGTTGCACATATATCAGACAGACCATCCTTGTGGATGTCGACGCAGCGGCTGTAGCGGTGGTGATCGACAGAGCGGCGCGTCTCATTCCCAATGGTCAATATGCATCTAGGGTAAGGGAAGGTTGTTCCCTTTTTGGTTGCAACCATGTGGTTGAACCGAGAAGAATGTATTGTTCGAGCATCCATGAGAACATTGCTCAGGAATTGGGTTCTCTTCGGTTTGCATGTGTTGTTATTGATGGATTCTCCGGTCTTTATAATGACAAGAACCACAAAAGAGATATGAGAAGCGTAGTGAGTTTACTTAAAAGTGTGGATGAAGGAGTTGATTTTGCAATTCCACTCATTGAAGATCTTGGGATATTCGAACGTGTTCCATGGGAATGGGATTTCATCAATTTTCAATTCCTAGATGGAGAAAGTGATAGGTCCTGGTTGTTCTTTCACCCTATTAAAAATCATGTCCTTAGCTATTTTGATTACAATGAGATCAAGTGGAGCAGCTTGAATTACTATCTCCATCAGTATCAAATAGATGATACGTGACTACGGTTAGGCCACACTTATGACGTTTTAATTAATTAGTTTTGGTGTTTTATTTATGAATTTGGTTTTCTTTTTTATGTTAAAGTGTTTTCTATTATGCATTAGGGTTATGATTAAGTTGTATCAAGACCTATATAAGGGTCTCTATTGATTAATAAGAAACCAATCTCCAACAATTAACCTAATTCTCTAGAAAGAGACTTGGGTTAAAGGGAAGGTTTTGCTTAAAACTTTTGGCTCGTATCAACTTGGTATCAGAGCCGAACGATTCGATGGGAGAGTTTGATAAGATAACGGCAGGGTTCGATAAGATAACGGCACTGTACGATAAGATGATAGCACAGTATGATGAAAGGATTGAGAGGTGGAGAAACATCCAGGCAAAGATGAAGCAAGGAAAGAAGACAACACAACAAGCTACGTCGGAGAAAGAGACCATAGAAACGAAACAGTCATTAGAGGCAACAAAGGAAGACGGAAACGAGCTGACCCAAACGGTGGTGTCGGTAGAAAAGCTTCATTCTGAGTCGACGGAAAACCTATCATTGATTGAGGAGGAAGAGTCTCCACCTGTGAAGAAAACACAGCAAGCGGTGATGGAGACGGTGACTTCAAAACTACCGGTAGCGGTGGTGTTACCTGCAGCGTCGCAGCTTGAATCGAAACCTCAAAACTCGAAAGTAATTGTGGCACCAGACGTGGAGGTGCTAGAAGCTGCCGCATCCGAGCTTGAGCCAAAGCAAACGAAGCCTCTAAACTCTGAAGTAATTGTGGCACCAGTTTTGGTGGTTAAGGAGTTGGTTGAGAATAGCCTTGACATCAATTATATGATGCAAGCAACCGTCCAAGAGATGATGACCCACCAACAACTGTTGCATCTCTTGATTAGGTTCTTTGTATCAAGAGTTCCATATAAGAGAAGAGGAGATATAAAGAAAGAGATGTAACCAAGATAAGCTCGTTGACGCATATTTAACCGGTTTTAGAATATTTTAAACTTATTTTTCTATTTTTTCTTTAAAATAAAATAACTCTAGGAATTGGATTTCTTTCTAGCCTTATTTCATTTTGGAGTTGATAATAGAGATTTCTAAATTTTACCCATAGATTATGATATTCCCAAAAAGGTTTTGTAGTGTATTTGCTTCAGTAGTTTGGGGGTCAGTCAAGTAATTAAGACTTAAACAAAGAAAATTAACCTTTACTCCCTTTGAAATAATTAGAGATATAAAAGGTGATTGTACTCATTAAAAAATAAAATCATTGAAATAAGATCAAATCTCAAAAGACACTATTCCAAAAATTCAGTGACGTGAAGAGCAAAAGCTGGTTCAATTATGTGGAGTCCTTATATTTTAAGAAACGAAAACACTTTTTTTTCTTGAGATAGACGACTGACGCAAGCAAACACCTGACACTGACAGGTTAAAACTTAAAACGTACATGGCGAAAGCACACGGGTGGCTACTTTTGCACGTACTTAAGATCACAGGAGGCCTCATGTCGGTCGGAAAATAGTAGCCAACATCTTCTTCCTCTCACGTTTGTAATATCTTTCCAAGCCTATTTATGTACACGTGTGTGTGAGTATTTTCACATTCACGTACGTACCTTCAAGCACTTGTGACGACTCGGAAATATTTTTCTGTATTAACGTACTGTGGAGTACAAAGTAAATATACCACATAACAAACTTAATAATTGTTTTATTTTTTTGTTTTTGAGAGTTATCTTGGTTTCATCATGATGCGACCGACCATTTTTAATCACTCGTAGAGAATAGCATACGTTTTAGCCGGATTAAGACCTAAATCCATGACCCTTTTGTAAATATGAAGAACGAGGACATCTATAGTGCGAATGCTTTCCTTGCCCAACATGGAGAAGGTATCCTAAAACGTATCATGAAATCTTACATACATATCTATACATGAAATTTCAGAAGTTTTAGTGAACAATCATCACAATAACGAACGATTAAGCGACAAATGACATATTTGTCGAATGCTACATGAACTTGCAAAATGTCCAGACAATTTACCGTCGGCTACGTAAAAAAAAAACAAGTTAGCAGTGAAAATATATAGAAGAGAATCCATGAAGATGTTCAATAATTATTTATTAGATCACCTCTAAAGCAATTGAAAAATCCACTTTAATTAAAAACATTTTTACCAATTCACTCGAAATGTAGTTTTAAAGTTTTTGAAAAAAAAAAGTAAATGGAAATGTAAAGATGACAATTTATTGCTTTGAATAATTGGATGATTTGTCACGAAATCGATTTAAGAATATATAGTAGGACATAATCGGATAGAGACAAAATATGTGAGACTAAAATCAAAACTTTGTGTGAAGAATGAAAGCTGCTCTTCAACCCAAAAATAATCAAATAGATACAAAATAAAAATCAACGTATATGGATTTAATTATATATATATATATATATATATATATTAACAACAACAAAACACAAAAAAAAAAAAAAAAAACCATACACACTAAGACAAAAACGTCTCACCTCTTTCATTCATCGTTGCTTATATCTCTCATCACTTTCACAAAATTTTGAATCTAAAATAGTCTTCATTAATTCTCTGAACAATATCATCCTCATATCAGAAATTGAAGATCTTCGTTAAAAAAGTAGTATATACTATATACTATATACTATGAACCACTAACTTTCAAAGATATTAATAACTATATAGCAACTCAAGAACAAATGTCTTTTCACGATCAACTAAAAATATATATAACTAAGCTGTAGCTACTACACTAAAAAAATGTAAAATTATAGATAACATATATAGATTGATAGATAGATATAATAAGCAAATTAGGTCTAATAATAATTAACCTAGGGAAGGTACGGCTCCGGAGGTAGCCGGAGAATCACCGTTACTCCCGTCTCCGGCGATACTACTCGTTAAATCCACATCCAATCTAACGGAGGTAACGGTAGGTTTACGTTTTCGTTTCTTTTTCTCATAAGGAATCCCACGAGCCTTAGCTTGACTCTCTTTGACTTCCCTCAAGTAAATCCTAACGGCGCGTGCAGCAAACGGGTTCGAATCGGGCTGTCCACCGTTTTCTTCGTAAGCCGCCCTAAGCCGTCCGATCAAAGCGTCGAGAGATCCCCAAGCTTGCTTGTGAGGACAAGAGCAAGAAGATGGTGGATCCGGATGGCCAAAGAAAGGACAGGTTTCCACGTGGACTTTGGTTTTCCCGAACTGGTCTAAGTACTTGAGGAACTCGAGCACGTGTGCACCGCTGCAGCGAGTTAGCGTTAAGGGTGGTTTGTGGTTTCTTAGGTATTGTAGAAACGTGTTCCAGTCACGGCGTTTTTGTGACTCGTAACGGCTTGGTGGTGGTGGTGGTGCTGATGTGGATGGGGATGAGGGTTGCGGTGACCCGGAAGCGGCGGGTTCCATATGAGAAGATCCGGTGATGGATCGGAGAAGTCTTTTAGGTTGAGATTTGTGAGTGTTTATAGAGTTATGAAGAGAAAGAGTGTGTTGAGTTTTTGTTTTGGTTTTGTAATTTGGAATTTGGATGGTGTGAAAGAGAATTATGTAAGAGAAGAGACAAAAGAGTGGAAATTTAGAAATGTAGAAATCACGTGGCCAATGTCCCTACCAAAAGTCCACCTGACAAGTTTTGCTGAACGGTAGATTTTTATGTTTTTTGTTTCATTAATTAATCAATTACATTTAAATTGGTACCGATTGGTTAAATTCGGTTTAGATAACCACCACTGAATTAAGCTAGAGACAACCAGACAGGACATCTATGTAAGTAGATTTCATTTAATGATGACTATCATCATTATCATCTCCATTGAATCAATTTTGAAAACCTTATCTAACAATTATTGTGTTATGTTTTTGGTTTGTTCGGTTCAAAACGCAGCTCGTAATGACTGACGTCAAATAAAATTGGAATGACCGGTTATTGGAATCTCACCTAAAGTTGACATTAAGAATTGATAAGACTCCACCACCTTTATATGGAAAATGAAAGAAACTACTAGACGTCTAATTTAATCCCTTTATATTAAGCACACGCATAGTATAGAATATGTACAATTAACACGATGACGATACTAATACAAATAATTATGATATACAAATACAATTCATGGATGTCATAACATATGTTGTTTATTTACGTATCAAAATGTTACTTTCAATGATAAAATGTGATGGAGATATTTTTATGATTAGACCGCAATTTCAACTATAATGTACCTTATAATAAAAGTTATATGACTCATCATGGAACTTCAATTTCCTATACTTACATCTTAATGCAATCATGCATATGAGTATATGATGATATATAGTCATGAATAGAGCACCGACATGATATGGTCATCATTGATTTAGTAAAATCCATATAGAATGGTGTATTTGATGAAAGTAAAGCATGAAGCAATCAGTATCCGATCACAATATTATATGGCACTGTCTAACGATCATAATTAAGACGCAAAGATAAGTCAATATCGTTGCCCCCACAATGTTATAAGAAATATAAAAAATGGATTAATTGATTTGAATTATTGGTTTGGAAAACCCTTTACCTCAAAACCAAAATTATTGGTTGGTGCTTCTTTGTTTTTACTTTTTCCCTTTGATAGGTGCTAATGACCCACCTCGCACATATCCAAAATATTTACTAATAAAGATCTCTAGACTAGAAAATAGATGCATTAACATTTTTAGATAGGTGTTTAGGCGTTCGAAAACATGACTAGTTTGGTTTTTTATACAATCTTGTCATGATTTGGTGTTAAACGTGTCTTCAGCATCCAGTTAACAACACCTAACCAGAATATAAACACTTTAAAAGTTAAGTTAAATCTATTAGTTATACGGTGTTACACGGATTCTTTTTCTTTCACCATCAGCCTAAGCACCAATCAAATCATATAGTATTTGATAAAAAAATATAATTTGCTTGTTTTCCATTTTTAGTATCCACTAAGTATTTGGAATCGCGTTTTATTTATAAAATTAATGATTAAAAAATAAAATTTTAGTCTATATATGTAGACGATGCCAACACAAAAAATATATTTATAGTGATATATATGCAATAGTTAACAAATCTTTCAACTTTGATATTGATCGTTAAACGAATATGAGTGCCATATACTAAAGGGTGTGCAGAGAAATGCACATTACAAAGTGATATTAGAGTTCAACTGAAACAAACGTGTCTTTGAACTATAACTATAGAAGGTTAACGGTTTTGGTCCGCAATGAGAAGATCACGAGGTAATTGTAATGCATATAAGTTCCGCAAATAAGATAGAAGTTGAATCTAGACAATGTATATAATTAGCATTTTCAAGAATTTTGGTATGTTTGAGATTTGATTGTGTATCTATGTATTTTGGTGGTGGATGTAATCATGTAATCGAATCACAAAGAGTCTTAACTATTGGCAATTGATTTTTTTTTTATGGGTTCTCATCTTGATCCCGATGGCGGTTTTGACGGTGAGTGTGATAGAGAATCACAAAAGAGCAAATTAAAGAGATTATAGAGCCATTATGGATTTATGTTGTACTCAGAATTGGGCCAATGGCCACAAAATACTAATTTATGAATTGGGCCCAATTCATATATTTTCCTGATTATTGAATTTCATAAATTTATGCTAAATTTCACAAGATTTTCTTTTCTTTTCCTCTATATGTTGCTTTTTTTGGTAATGTGAGATTATTGCATTAACTACACATATTTCATATTTTGTGTTATCCTTTTGGTTCTTTTCTCTTTTTTGGTATTTATGATATTATGATTTTTTAGAAAACAATACATAATACTTAAGGAATTCCTCATCTAATTAAGCACTCCTTAAAAGTAAAAAAAAATTGCCCGCAAGGTGGTGGGCTAGTGGTAGGGCGAGTCTGGAGTTGAGGGTGAAATCCCCGAACCCAGGTTTGATCTTCCTCCCTCGCTGTTATCAACACTTTGTGGGAAGTCTGGGCTTGGGCTTCGGCCCAGGCAGTTTACCTGGTAGTCTGGTAACAGGCGATCCAGCTACCCCCGGGCATTAGTCGGAAAGCATTCCAAACTTGGGTTAGGCAGTGTGGTAGCCCATCCTTCGGGGTGGTAGTGAGTCCACATGGTAGCACTTCGGTGCGTTCCCCCAGGGCTGACCGGATCAGCCGATCGGGTATATCAAAAAAAAAAAAAAAGTAAAAAAATTTGATATTCATAGCTTGGAAATTGATCCAATAATCTAATTCTAATAAATAAAAAATCTGAGTCTTTATTTATAAAAAAGTAAAATATCCAGTTATTAAAAAGAAAATGTGAGGTTTTTAAATTTGTGTAATAATTAAAAAAAAAAAAAAAGAGAGCAATATTCCAAAATTTAATACAGATTCATAAGAAGGATCCATAAGAAATTGACTAAACCGGATCTGGTCTTCGAAATAGTAACGCACGCGTGTCCCCCGGTCAGAGAATTGCCGTCACAATCACGCGGAGAAAGAGCGACAAATCAAACCTTAACCGTTAAAACCACGTCGTTTTATATATCCCACAACCGAACCCCTTTCCTTCGTTCGTCTCTCTATAATAAAATCTTCAAGATTTTGCAAAATTCGTCACTTACAATTTCAATTTTTCAGATCTCAAACTTTTTGTTCTCTTTTCCGATTCCAATCTTCTCTCGTCTGCTTTCCTCAAAGGTACGTTTCATCTTCCTTCTCATAGCTTCCGAAGAATCATTCCCAGATTTAGGGTTAGGTATTTCAATTCTCTGATCGGATTCCAAACCTGTTGTTTTCACTGTTCTTCTTAATCTAATGGGAATTTCTCATGTTTTCTCCAGGTTTTTTCATCACTTTATGCTTCACAAGCGAGCTAGTGAAGCTAACGATAAGAACGATAATAGCATCATCGGTTCCGATTTAGCATCATCTAAGAAACGCCGTATCGATATCACTGATTCTTCTTCGTCTGATAATAAGTCTTCGATTGTAGCTTCTGGTAGTAGTAGTAGCGGATTTCACGGCGATAGCGTCGCTCACCAAATCGACATGGCTTTTGGTAATTCGAACCGTCAGGAGATTGATGAAGATCTGCATAGTCGGCAGCTTGCCGTCTATGGTCGTGAGACTATGAGGCGTCTCTTTGCTTCCAATGTTCTCATCTCGGGGATGCACGGTCTTGGTGCCGAGATTGGTATGTATTTCGTATGCGTTGTTATTAGAAGCTTTGATTGTTGGTATTCTTCAACATCAATCTTCTTTATTCGTTTTTTTTTTCAGCCAAGAATCTTATTCTTGCTGGTGTGAAGTCTGTGACCTTGCATGATGAAAGAGTTGTAGAGCTATGGGACTTATCTAGCAACTTTGTTTTCTTGGAGGATGATGTTGGCAAGAATAGAGCGGATGCTTCTGTTCAGAAGTTACAGGATCTTAACAATGCTGTGGTTGTCTCTAGCTTGACCAAAAGCTTAACTAAAGAGGATCTTTCTGGTTTCCAGGTTGGTAGATAACTCATTTGTCTTGTTATTGGTTCTATCTGGTTTGAGTCTTTTGTGTACTGTATCGTTCGGTAGATGACTTGTGAGTTTATGATAACACTGCGAATGAATGGATCGTATAGGAGTGGGTTGTCGATTGTCGTTGCATATAAGAAATTGTATTCTTTGGTGTTAGGCTAGTTCTATTGTTTATTGATATTGGTATGGAAGATTGGTGTACACTTTTCTCGTTGGCTGGTTTCACGCTGATAGAATCTACTTTTGTGTGAAACAGGTTGTTGTTTTCTCTGACATAAGCATGGAAAGAGCAATCGAATTTGATGACTATTGTCACAGCCATCAGCCTCCTATCGCTTTTGTCAAGGCTGATGTCAGGGGCCTTTTCGGCTCTGTCTTTTGTGATTTTGGGCCTGAATTTGCGGTTCTTGATGTTGATGGAGAAGAACCCCATACAGGCATCATTGCGTCTATCTCTAATGAGAACCAGGCATTTATTTCCTGTGTTGACGATGAGAGGCTTGAATTTGAAGATGGTGACCTAGTTGTTTTCTCAGAAGTTGAGGGTATGACTGAATTGAATGATGGGAAACCAAGGAAGATAAAAAGTGCACGGCCATATTCATTCATTCTTGATGAGGACACTTCAAACTATGGAACATATGTGAAGGGTGGTATTGTCACTCAAGTGAAACAGCCAAAGTTGCTGAATTTCAAGCCACTGAGGGAAGCGCTTAAAGATCCAGGGGATTTTCTATTTAGTGATTTCTCTAAGTTTGACCGCCCTCCACTTCTTCACTTAGCATTCCAGGCACTTGATCATTTTAAAGCTGAAGCTGGCAGATTTCCTGTTGCTGGCTCAGAAGAGGACGCTCAGAAGCTTATATCGATTGCCACAGCCATCAATACCGGGCAGGGTGATTTAAAGGTGGAGAATGTTGACCAGAAGCTTCTACGACACTTTTCCTTTGGAGCCAAGGCTGTCCTGAATCCCATGGCTGCAATGTTTGGCGGTATAGTTGGACAGGAGGTTGTTAAAGCTTGCTCTGGAAAATTTCATCCTCTCTTCCAGGTAATATTTATTTTCCATATACTTGTGGGAACACGTATTTTAGTCTTTGCATGCCAAATTGCCAAGTTCCCTGTTCGAGTTAAGAATTTTAAACACAAGAATTAAAACCCAAAGCTCTCTTTTGTTAAAACCGAATCAAAGTAACAAGACAAAAGTTGAAAAGCACCCAAGGGTAATAAAATCCAAAGCTCTCTTCATCTATTAGAAGCTAAAAGAAAGCTGTTTAGATAAAGTTAATAAGGAAATAGAAACATTATCTTATACGTATCTCCCTTTTTCTAATGTTTATGTCGCGTGAAGTTACAGCTGCTTACTCTTTTTTTGACACTTGCATATTGTTTATAGTTTCGTATTGGGATCTAATGTTGGAATTCTTTTTTTTTTTTTTATCAGTTTTTCTACTTTGATTCAGTGGAGTCACTCCCCACTGAACCTCTGGACTCGAGTGACTTTGCACCAAGAAACAGCCGGTATGATGCCCAAATATCTGTATTTGGAGCCAAGTTCCAGAAGAAACTTGAAGATGCTAAAGTTTTCACAGTAGGGTCTGGTGCTCTTGGCTGTGAGTTCTTGAAAAATATGGCTCTGATGGGGGTTTCTTGTGGAAGCCAAGGAAAGCTGACAGTTACAGATGATGATATAATCGAGAAGAGTAACCTCAGTCGTCAATTTCTGTTCCGTGACTGGAACATCGGACAGGCTAAATCCACAGTTGCTGCTTCGGCTGCTGCTGCTATAAATCCCCGCTTCAACATTGAGGCCCTGCAAAACCGTGTAGGCGCTGAGACTGAGAATGTATTTGACGATGCCTTCTGGGAGAACTTAACTGTTGTCGTCAATGCACTGGATAATGTCAATGCGAGGCTCTATGTTGATTCGAGGTGCTTGTATTTCCAGAAGCCTCTCCTTGAGTCTGGAACTCTTGGTGCAAAGTGTAACACACAGATGGTTATCCCACATCTAACTGAAAATTACGGTGCCTCAAGGGACCCACCAGAGAAACAGGCCCCCATGTGTACAGTGCATTCGTTTCCGCATAACATTGATCACTGTTTAACTTGGGCTCGCTCTGAGTTTGAGGGTCTGCTGGAGAAGACTCCCGCTGAAGTGAATGCATATCTCTCTAGCCCTGTTGAGTACACTAACTCAATGATGAGTGCTGGTGATGCTCAGGCGAGGGAAACATTGGAGAGGATTGTTGAGTGCCTTGACAAGGAGAAGTGTGAGACCTTCCAAGACTGCTTAACCTGGGCTCGACTGAGGTATTATCACTCTCTTAATAGTTAGTTTTAGATAGTCTAGTCGTAATGATAGAATGAAAGAAAGTATGGTGTCTTACTCATGTACTGCTACAGTTTCTTTTTTCTGCTTTTGGCATGTGCGTCACCCAGGGTTTGTTAATTATTCTTTGAAAAAATCATTAGGAAACTAAAATTCAATTTTTAGGAACAATGTTAGAAGGTAACTTCATTTCGCAACAGTTTACAACTAATATGTAGAAGTCGGAAGAAATTGTTTCCTTCCTTTGTGGAGTCTGTGATTTTTGCGATCATTTATGTGTTTCTTATGTTGTGTGACTAGGTTTGAGGATTACTTTGTAAACCGTGTCAAGCAATTGATATTCACATTTCCTGAAGATGCTGCGACTAGTACCGGATCTCCATTCTGGTCTGCTCCAAAAAGATTCCCTCGTCCACTCCAGTACTCGTCTTCTGATCCAAGTCTCCTTAACTTTATCACAGCAACTGCTATTTTACGAGCAGAGACATTTGGGATCCCAATACCTGAGTGGACTAAGAACCCAAAGGAAGCAGCCGAAGCTGTGGACAGAGTGATAGTCCCAGACTTTGAGCCCAGGAAAGATGTGAGGATTGTGACTGATGAGAAAGCTACCAGTTTAACCAGTGCTTCGGTGGACGACGCTGCAGTCATCAACGATCTCATTTCTAAGATCGAGCAGTGTAGGCGTAACTTGTCTCCAGACTTCAGGATGAAACCAATTCAGTTCGAAAAGGTATATATCCTCCAATGTTATTCTGTCTTCACTGATATTGGCTTGTCTTGTTTAAAATTTTTAACTGATTGTTGTCATTTTGAATCTGATGTGTTTGTAGGATGATGATACAAACTATCACATGGACGTGATAGCGGGACTAGCCAACATGAGGGCGAGGAATTACACCATCCCTGAAGTCGACAAGCTGAAAGCAAAGTTCATCGCAGGGAGAATTATTCCAGCCATTGCAACTTCAACAGCCATGGCTACTGGGCTGGTCTGCCTCGAGCTGTACAAGGTCCTTGATGGAGGACACAAAGTGGAAGACTACAGAAACACGTTTGCCAACCTGGCACTTCCACTCTTCTCCATGGCTGAACCAGTTCCACCAAAGGTGGTGAAGCACCGTGACATGGCTTGGACTGTTTGGGACAGATGGGTTCTCAAGGGAAACCCAACTCTTCGTGAGGTGTTACAGTGGCTGGAGGACAAAGGGCTTAGCGCATACAGCATCTCTTGTGGAAGCTGTCTTCTGTTCAACAGTATGTTCCCAAGGCACAAGGAGAGGATGGACAAGAAGGTTGTGGATCTTGCTCGGGATATCGCCAAAGTTGAGTTACCGCCTTATCGCCACCATCTTGATGTAGTGGTGGCTTGTGAGGATGAAGATGACAATGATGTCGATATTCCTCTCGTCTCTATCTACTTCAGGTGAGAATTTTCAAACGAAAAACAGACAGAATGAAAGAAAGATGAAACTCTTGAGAGCAAATTTGTGTGTTTTTGTCTCTGCATCTGCCCTACGTATTTTCTATGGATGCTTGTGGGTGAGATGACTGATTTTTACTTGCGGGGGATAGAGACCCATTTTATCATCTCTCGTTCTATTTCTAGTCTTTCTTTCTATGTACAATTGCTGATGTGTGTTTTTACACACCCGTTACCATCTATCTGAACATGCTTTTATCAAACAAATCTCGAGCTTTCCTTTTTCCATGTCTTCCTTGCAGGTAGTGTTTCACATAAATAAGAATTACAGAGAATATAAATTGAAGCAAAGAATTCAAAATATAATTCTAGGGTGAACTCTAGAGCACCACCTTAGACTGATACATAATGCTCATATTTGACGGATTTTTCATGTGTATTTAAATGTACCTTTTGTATATTAATTGTAGTTTTCGTTTACTCGGTTTGATTGCATAAACTTTGGATTCAATTTGAGAGTGGTTCAATTTATTTGGTACACTTCAATTACACAATGCTTATTATTTCCTACGGGAAAAATAGATTCAAATTGGAGTAAATAAAAATATTTAGGTATTAAGGAGACGGATTTTTGACTGAAACTGCCACAAATATAAGAGTTCTGACGATTCGAGACTCGACTTGACCCGATCACCAAGATTTATCAGCACCTTCATCGAATTGGCCAGATCCCACAACCCGAAAATCAAGCTGCTTTTGATGCTTAGTACGTCTTCTTTCATCAAAATCATCCCATCCCTCGAACTACCACAACACAAATATCTTTGATTCAGTTCAAAAAACAAAGAAGGAACTATAGACTCAAACATGAGACTGTGAACAAACAAACCTGGCGGAGAAACTCAACAGTTATCTCTGTGTTGTGGAGTCCTAAAGTTGAGAGCTGCAAACACATCTTAAATAAAGCCGATGGCAGCGTCTTCAATCCCGTGTTGTTCAGCTCCAGCGTCTGAACACCAAAAACACTAAGTCAGTCTTTGTAATCCCATCCATGGGACAAAGAGTAGTCAATAGATTGATTTTATTTACCTTTAGATTACGCAGTTTGGTGAGTGTCTCGGGAAGTTCTGATAGAATGTTTGCTGAAAGATCAACCTCCATGAGGAAGGAACAGTTTCCGATACTCTCAGGAAGGCTAGTTATTCTGCAGAACACAAAAAGATAGAGAGACCATGAGAAAAGTTATCAATGAAATCACAATGCTAAGACTGTAACTTTTGTCTTTTCGATCACTTAAGAGATATGAGTAAAGCTTATTTGCCTGTTATTGTTGGCTTTCAAGATCTCGAGCTGCGTAAGAAGTCCTAACTCATTTGGTAGACTTGTCAACTTGTTGTTGGTGACATCAAGCTGTCTAAGAGACGTCAGTGAACCCACTGCTGCTGGCATAACAGTTAGACTGCAAAACCCCAATCACAAAAACGATTTCCTCATCAAAAACCATTTGACATTCACAAGTATAAAGTTGTGTTCTAAAGTCTTAGTGATTATGATTTGTGCATAACTTCATATCAATTTTTCCTTTAGTTTAGCTAGTCGAAAAACTTGTACAATGATATCTACTAAGAAAGACAAGTTCAGAGAGTGAAAGCGGAAAACTCACTTGTTATGGCTAATGGACAGAAGCATCAGGCGCTTCAGAGATGCTATCCCTTCCCATTGAATGGATTCATCGGATAGACCATTTCCTTGAAGGAGCAATTTCTACAAATGCACTCATACTATAATCCTTAATTCTTCACTAAACAAAAATATTTGAAATATACATGAAGTTTTCTCATATACTATTTGAACTTAGCATTTCTCACCTGCATAGAACCAAAGGAGCTGATTTTGGTAGGTACTTCTTTAATAAAATTTTCACTGATGTCAAGTACTCGGACTCTAGATCCACAGTCCCACACTTCTTCGGGTATTTCCTTTTCCACAACAAAGAAAACTCAACTAATAAACAATTTAGCAACTAAAAGATAATTCCAAACCAAAACCACGATAATGAACATGTATATACCTTCAAATTGGCTTGAGCTAAAGCAATAACTCCTGTGGCTTTCCATCGATCAGTGCGCTTCTTGTCTACAAGGAGACTAGGTTTTCTCTGATCTACTTTATCAGATACAACAGTTCTAGAGATTGGCCTTGTACTAGCTTCCTTAAGTACTGGACCTTCCTGTTCATTTTCAATACAATAACACCTTAACCTCAATTACATTGATCCTACTAAAGATCAAGAATCCAAATTTCAAGATTATCTTTTACACAACTAAGCAACATACAAAAGTAAGAACACTGACCCCTTGATGCAGACCTTGAGAAGCCATTAACATGAGTTTGGCTCCACTTCCAACATCAGATTGCTTCAAAGTCGACGTTTCAACCAAAACCTTACCTTCAAGAAACAAAAAACAAATTTTGAAAACTACCCATTACAAGAAATTAGCTCGATTAGTGAGAAAAGTAATCAAATTTCAATAAGCAAACCTTTGAAGATGAGCTTCTGGCCACGAGGAAGAACGTTGGTGATTGGTTGTAACAGAGACTTAAGATCTTTGACTGTACAATCTTGTGATACCGAAAGTGGTATTGATTTGCCTCCGAATTTGACGGTAAGCTTAATCGTGGAATCTGCCATTGTTGGATCTTCGAGCTCCATCACAAAGTGATTCTCAATTTCTTTTTCTTATTTCTTCTTCCGGCTTTGCTTTCACGAAGAAACAGAGGTCCTAGAGTCATTAAAGTTTGTTTTGGGCTCACTATAAATATTTTAATCAACATTGGGCCGTTGGAACTTCAGCATATTTGAGACAAATATTCAATCAGAATTAAAGTAGATTGTAGACCAATATTTAATAAATTATTAGGAAATCATCCGTGTTATATTTAGAATATTTTTATTCAAATATTATGGTAGAAATTAATAATACTATTTTGAAATGATTGTTTTTGGTAAGTTTAAGAATATTCGAATGTGTTTGGCAATTAGAATTAGAATAATCAAAACAGGTAAGAGATAATATTTGGGAAATAATTTGTTTGGTAATAAGTGTAGTAAAACTAGAAAAATGAAAAATAAAATAAGTGAGAAAAGATGTGGATTTGACATGTTATCGAAAAATATTATCTTTTAATATATAGAGGATTTGTTTCTTTTTTTTTTGGTAGGCACCGGGAGGCATTGCCTCCCGTTATTTATTAAAGTAAAATAAAAAATTACACAGGAACTCGTCTTGGTCGTCCGGACCCATATATAGAGGATTTGTTTCTAGTGAGAATAGAATTCGTATCTATCTAGAAACTGAAACCATACAGTTGTTTTTAATTTGATTTTTATTCTTTGGTTTGATATAAATTTGTATTAGTTTAGTTTAAGTTCAATATATTTTTAAATAACGTAAATGTATTAAAACATAATGATTAATTTAAGGCTGATGAAAGAAAACGAATAAATAGTAACAAGGAAGAAAAAAACGACCAAAATGGGAACCACAGAGAAACATATGTAAATGAAAATTTGAACATAAAGATTAATTTAAAGAAAAAATCATTTATTAAATTTAGTTTATAAACTATATTTAAAATTAATATTGTATTGCTTTTGCGTTTGATTGGAGTTAAGACTATGAGGGTTTATTGGAATATAAATATGTATGCCATGCATATTGTTTAATGTATATGCTGCCAATTATGTTTTCTCATATATGGAGTACAAATTTTGAACAAATAAAGAATCCACAGCACATTAGAAATTCTAGACAAACAACTAGAAATCCACAACACATACTATATGTGGAATATGAAAAAAATTCTTACAAATGAAACAATGGCCGAATCAATTTTTCATGACCAAAAGTGTTTGATGGTAAAAACGCCGGTGTCTATTTAGATCATGTTGAAATTTTGAACACTCCCTAGCTACAATATGATGGTATGTTGAGTTTCCGCTTGTTAGAGCTAGAGATTGTTTTTTGAATCTAAATTGTCAACCTATATGTTGATAAATAACTGAAAATTATATTTTGGCGGTATGAGTTAGAAAAAAAAAAGTTGAAAGAGGTTTTTGTTTCATAGCAGATTTGTGGCAACTCGTGGTACTGTCACAGGGTATATCTGTCTGACTACCTATTATATTGATGATAGGTGGAGGTTGAACAACAAAATTTTGGCGAAAAACCTTTTTTCAACTGTGTAGCTTTGTGTGATATAATACCTCTATATATTGGTGAAAAATTAGCTAATAAAATTTTTGGTTCCAGATGATTAGTAATAATGGATTATTGTGTGATGAGAAGTTTTTTCTTGTTAGATATCATAACAGTCAGTAGTTGCTGATCTAATGGTTATGAGATGTTTATGTTAAAGTAAGGCAGCTAAGGCTATTGTTTGGCTTCCCGCCAAATATTGTAGCTGGGAAAAAACAGTTGAGCGAGAGTTGAGTTTTTAGGTACATATTCCAAAGCCAAACAAACCAATAAACAGATTATTGTTTTAATAACATTTATATGAACAATAAAAAAGAAGCTTCATCTCCTCCTGTGAAGAACACAGTTGACACAAGAAGAACTGTTGTCTACACAATCCACCAACCTAGCATTGATATCTTTGAAGCTTTTAATGAACTTCTTCTTATGAAGAGAGGGGGACAAGTGATTTACGCTGGTCCTTTAGGTCAAAACTCTCACAAGATTATCGAATATTTCCAGGTCAGATTCTACATTTAGTTTGTCAAGACTTTGATATTAAAATGTAAGAACTTTCATGATCAATACTCTTTTGAGAAACCGCAGGCGATTCATGGAGTTCCAAAAACAGTCAGTAGCTGCTCAGGTTTTGAATCTTATTATGCAAGGACTATCAGTAGCCGCTGATCTTTTGAAAAACATTAAAGACAATGTCAAGTTCATCAAAGCATATGATTCAAGGAAAGAAGCCTTTGCAGTATGTGTAGAGAGTGTAAGGATTAAGAGTGGAAATGGGTTACTTTTAGATATTCCTACTCGATTGAATTCGACTTATGATATGCTTACTAGAGCTCTGAAGTTTCGTAAGGCGTTTTCTAGTTTCAAAGCATGTGTCAGAAATTACAAATCATTTTCAAAGGATGAGTGGAATCGTGGAGAGAGAATTTGTGACTTCTTGAAGTTTTTTTAGTACCATCACTACTTACTTCTTAGGTGTCAAATATCCTACAGGTGGTGCGTATTTTCTTCAAGTATAGAAAATTGAGGTCTATTGAAGAAATATGCAGACTATGGTGATTTGAGAGTGGAGGAGATGGCTAGGAATATGCAGTTAAAA